GAGCCCCTGGTCTTCAAACTGGAAACCAAAGCATTATATGTACAACCACATTAAACTTCTAGATTAAATTCTTGTTTTGTGTTTTGCCCTGGTATATTACAAGCTGTACATTACCCGTTTATATTATAAGCTATATTATAATATATGGTATGTTACCAGAACAAACTATATTGCCTTTAGTTCAACAGTTCCTTTCACAGTGCATGAACCACAGATGTTCTTTGTCAAGGCTGTAAATGTGTCTCAAGCAAAGAAAACAGGACAGTTTTTACAATGTTATGTCCTCTTCCTATAGAGTGCCAACTCTCACCTAGAGCGTGAAGGGTTTTCTCACTACCCATGAGAAAGGAAACACCTGTTGGTTCCAGGAAGTTCATTTTTTAAATGCTTAAACTTAAACCGTACAGCTGTGTAGAAAATAGCTTTCCACAATTGCAAGAGAAATGTTCCCACTCGAAAGGCTGTTGGAAATACAGAATGAGAAATAACTGCATTACTTGTCCCCAGATATTTTTCTTTCTATAAAACTGAACAGTGGTATTGGATGAATGCCCACAAAGCATCTTAAGGGCTAAGGAAGGATTATGCTAAAGGCTAAACCCTGAGACAGGTTTATGTACCCTGCGTTGCACTTTCCTTGGGCTTAATATCTTTTAGCCTATCTGTAGAGGGTGTTGGAGGACAGAGTTGCTATTGGGAAACAGAATTAAGAAACTTAGTTGAGTTCATATTTAAGGCAAGGTTTACCTTCAGTGAGACATTTCAGAAGGAGCTATCAGCTGGGGCAGCCACTGATCACCCAAGGAGCTGCTACAGCAGAAGGACAGAGGCTCTGCAGGTCCTCACTCGGGCAGTGGTGCCAAAACCATTCTGTAGAGAGGATGTAAGTACACACACATCTTACAAGTCTACCTACTGAGTCATTCAAACTATCCATGCTTAGCAAAATGTTGCCCACAAAAACCAAAAGGACATTTTATCATAGAAATTGGTTAACTTTATAAATTTCCTTGGGTCTGTGCTAGTAGTGTGATAGCTTATAAGCAATGATTAAACTGAACTTGCCAAAAAGTAAAGGCTCTATTCCATTTCTGCCAACTAAACACTGCCTGGCTTTGTTTGATTCACTGAAAGCAGAGTGGGAGGGAGTGTTTCTATAGATCAGTTTAAAACTGACTTGTAAGCTCAAGCATTTTATCATCTTCGATTAGATAATCTCTTTATGTTTACTGCTATTCATTTACTATCCATTTTGTCGTGTTAGTGTACATTATGTGTAATAACAAGTTTCTTTATGGCATTCACACGCGTGTAATGTACTCTGAGCACATTCACCCCATCTCCCTTGCTCATTCTCTTCCCACCCCTGTGAACCCTTTTTCCCAAACAATGCCCATTCTGCTTCTGTGTCTTTTGTGTGTGAGAGAGACAAAGGGTTAAATTAGGGTGCTTACAGAAGCTTGGATGAGGGGCTATTTGCAGGAGGGCAGGCATCTTACCAGAGGCTATATTGCTGAAGAAAATGTCTTTACCTCTCCAGTTCTCATTGGTTGCTTGTTGGTACTTGGGGAGGCTGCTTTTCGTCGTTGAGACAGCGTTGTGGTATATGTTCTAGGATAGTCTTGAATTAATGATTCCTCCTGCCTCTGCCCTCAGTTAGCATGTGCCACCACACCCAGCTTTATACTGTTTCAATGGCCTCCATTACTATAGTTAATTACATTTTTAAAATTACGTTGTGGGAAGCATAAACTATCAGATTAGAATTTTTCAGAGACAAATCAATGATAACCATGAAAAAAAATCTATGTTGCTATTTTTAAATTTCTTCTTTAACTAAAATACCTAATATTCATGAGTGTGCCTGGAGTTTGATATTTCAAGAAGCCAAGGATGTTTCTAATGTCAAAGTGCTTTCTAGAATGAAAAGAAGCCAAAGTGAAGGGCAGCATGCATGCAGCCATCTGTCTTCAACAACACTTCCCAGGCTATGTAAGGTGTGATGCATTCAGGAAAGCACTAGAGCATATGCTCAGCCAAGGGGAAATCCATCTAAGAGCCATGCTGAGTGCTTCAGTGATAACTGTCTTTGGTGGTGGTGCTACTCATTATTATCATAATTTCCCCCCTTTATTCTGTGCTAGAATGTCACAGGAAAGATTTATTGTTATTTAGGACCACATTTAAATCTAGTTGCTTTTTAAAGTGGACTGTTAATGATATAATTCAAGCAAGTGGGAAATACATTTCTAGGGGCTCGGGAGATGTTGTCAGTAAAGTGTGCTGCTTAAGCTTGAGAACCTAAGTTTAGACCTCTGGAACCCATGTAAAAACCATGTAGTATTACATGCCTGCAATTCCAGAACTAGTGGGAAAGACATAAGGATCCCGGAAGTTCATTGCTGAGCCATGTTGGCTTCAATTAAAGACCTTGTCTTAAAAAAAAAAGCTAGAGAGCAATCAGGAAAAACAACACCCAACATCTGCAAACACACACACACACACACACACACACACACACACACACACAGGCTCAGGTCCAGGATGTGGCAACTCAAACCTCAAAGTTTAATGAACACTTATAGTTCAGCCAATAGAAGACAAGTACAATCAGACTATGCCTGGCAACTGTGCACTGGGCAACCATTCAGTAAAAATCTGCTGATTTAGCAAGGGTTCAATTCCCAGAGTGCATGTCGTACTGCTGCTGCCCTGATGAGTTGAGACAGAATTAGCACTGGCTAAGTCGTCTGTATGCCTTGGGAGGGGTTTGAGGAGGGTAAGAGTCTGAAGGCAGAGATTAAGGCATCTTCATCCTGCTAATGTGCTGGCCATCCAGGATTATAGCCCTGGGTCAGGGAAATCCACCCAAGTGCAGACCTCAGCACAGCACACTCAGCCTGGAGACTGCCAGACATGCTCTCCATTGCAGAAGAGCTACCCAGCTCACAGTTGGTCAAGATGTGTGCAAAATAAAAGATTTTCCCCCTAAAATATAAAACTTAACATTTAAAAGCTCATGGATTGACCACAGAGCTTAGCACCCCTCCCCACACACACACAAGGTAGTTTGGGGACAACATGGATTTGGATGTTCCAACGTCTACCTGGGGGATAAAGGGAAAGTTCTGGTCAGACTCAGAACCTTTCCTTGAATATGTTCTGGCTGTATTTGCTTTACAATATCATTTGATTTGGGGCAGTACAAATATTCTATCAGATATTGGAATAATGGTTATATGCCATTATACGTTTGCCAACCCGCAGAATACAAACCAAGGATGAATGCTGATATAAAGTATGGCCTTTGTCTGCTCATTGATTGTAAGAAATACACATCTAGAACGGAATGTTGATGTTAGGGGTAACTGCGCTTGTGTGTATGGAGGAGAATGTTTGAGAACACTGCATTCTCCAGTCAATTTCTTGTGCACATAAATTTGCTCTAGAAAACTAAATATGCATGTATAATTACCAGTGTGAGGCATACACATGGTATGAGGAATATGAGAGAAGACAATGCTTTTTGTGTTGTTATTATTATTGTGTGTACCTGATGCGTATTACAACACACATGTGGACATCCCTAAAGAAAACTTTAGGGAGCCAGTTACAGAAATACAGTAGAAATAACTAATCAAGAACTTTAAAATTAGGGAGATGAAGGGGGGGTGGATCTGGGAGAGAGGAGAGCTGGGTGGGGTTGGAAGGATGGAGGGAGGGGAAACTGTGATTGAGATATATTGTATGAGAGAAGAATCTATTTTCGATCAAATAAATAAATAAATAAACAAGTGGCCAAAGCCAGTCCTGGGTGACCCATATACTTGAATTTCCTATCTGATCAGACGGGAAACATTTTTAGTTTTCAGACCATACAAATGCTTTTATAGCTATTTTAAAAAATCAAATGATACACAAGGAAGAAAAAGTTCTCTCCATGAAAACCAGAGCATTTCCTACTCTTCTTTTTTCTTGCCATGATGGGGATTGGATCCAGGGCCTCACGCATACTGGGGAAATCCCACTCATTTCCATTTTTTTTCTCAGATTTTTAAGACGATGATTGAGAATGAAAGAAAAGCTAAAAATGGCCTGTTTAACTAGTAGTACTGTTCAATATTTTAAATTATTCCGAGGATACTAACTGTTAATGAGAAACTATAAGGCAGACAGCCTCCCTTTAACAACAGTTCATCTCTGATCATTAGGTGCTGAAGGTAACATATGGAGTCATGAGTTTATATTCACATCAATATTATCTCGTCCTTCGTTCTAATTAATCTGATCTCAGGCAATCAGCCCATACCCACCCTAATTAGATACCTTTTAAGCCATTGAGGACCTCTCTCTTCATTTTCTGTTTTAATCTTATCAACTATATAAGAATATTTTCCCAAAGACTGAACATATGGCAGGGCTGGGTTTCCACCTCTGGAAATAGTAAGGATGTAAATAACTTGAAAGGAGAGAGCTGGTATCCCTGGAATCTTACAGGGCTGGTTCAGTGTTATTATTGCTTGTGATGTGGTGTGGCATTGCCCTGTGGACTGTAACAAACTCCAGGGCGAGCTTATAAAATGAGTTCTTCAGATATTATCATCCACTTCCTTTGGGGGAGTTTTTGGATAATTGAAAGTTTGATGCAGTGAATCTAAGAAATTCATGAAAGTACAGGCGTGAGGACCAGAGTTCTATGCTGAGAACCCACATAAAAAACAAAGGAATGAGCAAAAGCATGTGTAGTTATGTACGATCATGATCCAGCTCTGATAAAGTCAAGATACAAAGGTCCCTAAGGATGAATGGCCAGACACAGGGCCCCAAAACACAAGGTGGGCAGCCTCCACACATTTCTCTTGAATGGGTACACACACACACACACAAACACACACACACACACACACACACACACACACACACAGAGGAAAATATTTTTCAGTAGGTATTTGTTAACGTACTTGTTTCTTTTTAGAACTCTGACAGAGTCAAGAAATCTGATGACAAACCCAGTGATGTCTGTGAACCCTCTATTGACAGCATCAGGACATCAGAGGATCCCACTGGTTCCCCCGCCATTTGGGCCTCCAATTGTGGACAGGTATTTCTTTCCAATGTAGTAGTTCAATCAGAAGAGAAAACGAACCACCGTTAGAGTTGGGATGATGTTAACATTAGATGAGAAAACAACATTGGGGTTATCTCAGTGAACTGTGCCATGACTCTTGGCGCTCTGCTGGTCTTACCTTCAAAACTTAAGGCTCTACTTTCCCTTTGAAGCTTTGTTTGACCCATTAATTGATAATAACTACACTTACTTGGAACGTGACTGGCAATATCAAGTGTAAATCTGCTAGGTTAGTCTTCTGAGGCTACCACAATAAAACACAAAAGACAACATGGTTGCCACATAGGTTCAGGGAACAGATGTTCAGGGCTGGAGACATGGCTCAGCTGTCAAAAGCACTGTCTGCTTTCCAGAGGATGGGATTCAGTTCCCAGCAACCACATGGCTGTAACTGCAGCCCCAGGGGATGCAGTGCCCTTTTCTGGCCTTCCTGACACTACACACACATGGTACACAGACATACATCAGACAAAATATCCATACACATATTATTTATTTAAGTAAAGAAAAAAAGGTCTCCATTTCTGGAAACTACAAGTCCAAAATCACATTTCTGCCCAGTTAGTTTCTGGTGAGTCCTGGATTATAGATGCTATCTCCTCACTATGTCCTCGAATGGCCATCCTCTGTGTGTACATACAGGGTGCCCTCCACAGTCCACTCCTCTCCTTAAGAGTGTCCTATCAGATTAAGGTTCCATACTAAGTCTATAACATGTAGATCCCCTGGATTGCTTGTCACTAAATCATTCTTTCAATATCAGGGAAATTATAAGCATTTGATTGTACATTTGGCAATATTCTAGCTTCACTTCTTTGGAATATTTTGACATTCTGAAGAGAAAATAAAACCCAGCATTCGTCCTTGTTCATGGAATGTGAACAATAAATAAGCTGTCCACTGAGGTGGCCAAACACTTACCCTAAATGGCAAATGCCACCAAGGGGCCATTAAATGCAAACAAACTGTGTGCTCAGAGCATAATGCCCCTTGTGAATAGTCCGACCATGGCATTAACTTGAGTGGGACTTTCCCCAAGATAGCCCTAGGCTATCGTGCTAGCTGTGGCCCTTCCTCCTCATCTTTCTCACCACACTTCTCCATTACCAGAGAGACTTCAGAGCATTTGAACTTCAGTTTCAACGGAGACCCAAGCAGCTATTAAAAAATCCAGCACCTAAATGAATTACTTACTTTTGTGTGGCTGAGACCACACTACCTGATCTTGGCTCACACTTTCAGAGGATTCTGTCTGTCACAGCAGGGGAGGCATACCTCAGCTGAATAATCATGGGGAATCAGAAAAGGGAGGGCACTCACAGATTCCCACGAGATCCCAGCCACCTCTCCTGCCCTCAATAACCCTCTTGAAATGCCCTAGTGAGCCTGTCAAGAAATGTGCCTCAAATTTCTAGATGATTCTAAATTCAACTAACTTAACAATGAACTTAGATCATCATACTGAGCAACAAAACTTTGTTTAATTCCAGCCATATCCTACCTATTTTATGTCTTTCTTTCCCTCCTAGAGATGTCTTGTCTTCCAGTATAGCTCCAGCTGACACAAGCCAGTTTTGTATACCTTCCCAATTTGGATCCTCTGTTGTCCCAAACGCAAATATGCCAAACCCACTGTCCAGTCACTTCTACTCAGGTATGAGCAATGAGTGTGTGGCGCCAGTGTGTGGAGCCGTGCGAACGGCAGCTATTTGAGTGTGCTGCTGATGCTCACCACTGGAGACCTGGGCAGTGGTTGCCCTTTGCAGTTTGTGCACCTGCTTTCTGGGTTGAGCTTGTGGTGGTACCACTCACTGTGTGAGCAAGATTGAGTTGCTTAACCCATCCAAGCACCAATTTAATCACAAATGAGGGCGGACTTGCAACATTACCATTTGTCTTATCTTTCATGTGAAGAACTGAGGGGTTTCAAAGAGAATTAATTATCTGAGGCTTAACTGCTTCAGGCAGTTTATGACTTGAGATGAGGGTAGAGTATAGCCCCATGGTAGAGCATTTGATTACATGCATGAGGACCTGGATTCAGTTCTCAGTACCCCTAAACCAAACCAAACTAATGAAACAGCATATGTTCTCATAAGTCATCGTGAGAATTTAGCTTTTATTCTGATTTCATTCTGGAGATGTTTAATACATGATAGCAGTCAGAATTTATATAGTTAAAAATGTTGATGGATTTCAAATGTCTACATCATAAAAATAATAAAGATATGAGATAGTAGATGTATTATTATCTTGATTTAACCATTCTTCCAATGTAAGCAATGTAACCAAAACATCACATTGTGCCCTTAGAAATATATATATATATATTGCCCTTAGAAATATATATATTGCAATATATATATATATATATATATATATATATATATGTATATGAGACAAGAAAAGACACATCAAGGAGGCATAGGCCTTTCTTTTCTGGTTTGAAGTATGACAGGAAAATGCCACCAGTCACGAGACTGACAATTCAAGAAAAAACTGAAATGTTATCTGCTGTTGATCTGGTGATGTTTATCAGGTTCTAACCAAACAGTGTAAGATCTGATACCATTTCCCCCATTCCAGTTCAGCTTAGGGGTTTCTGAAGATTCTGTTTTGAATTTTTTATAATTATTTTCAAATGCATGCTTCTAATTTGTTTGTGGGCTGGGATGGTTCTCTCTTTCCCTCCCTTTCCTCTCCCTCCCTCAAGGCTGGGGCATTTTACCACCTGAACCCATAAAGGCAGTGACCACAAGGAATGAGATGATGGAAAGGCATCATGCTGCCAGGTAACTTAATGATATTGTTAGATTTGTCTCTTACTCAATCCCAGGACCATTTGTTCATCTGAGTTGTTTGAAGTAAATTAACACATATAAATACAATAGAAGCACATAGGTGATATCATAAAGAACACATGCCATCTATACACACACATACTGATCATTTACAGAAAGGACTTTAGGTACATTATAGAATAAAGTATACAAGCTTTTTAATAATAGAAAGAAGCTTAAAAAGCAGACAGTGGGGACTGAGGATTAAAAAGTTTAGTGAGAATGCTTGCTGTACAAACATGAAGCCTTGAGGTCAGATCCTTGGTATCCAAGAACAAAGCTGGGTGTGACCACATGTGTTTTTAATTCCGGGGTAGAGGCAGGGGTCACTGATAAAGGGTTTGATGTCCAGCCAGTCTAGCAAAAAAATGGTGAGTTTTGATCTGAGTAAAAGACCGATCTTGAGAGAACAGGATAGTGAGATAGGAGGGCATAGGATAGGAGCACACCTGAGGTCCTCCTACAGCCTCTGCATGCATGTGCACACTTTCACTCAGGCACGCACCACACACAACACATGTAATACTGCCCCATGTGCACTCCACAAAGTGGAGCTAAGAGTGGATGGGTCTGCATATTCTATAACTTCCCGTCGACCCACAATTCAAACTCCTGGCTATGAATCCTCTGAAATTCCCACTAATGGCTTCACCCTTGCAGACAGGAGTGAAGCTCACCAACTCCTCTTCAGAGTATCACCAGAACCCAGGAAATCTCATGCCAACCCAACAAAGGTCTTCATCTGCAGTGGCCAGCAGCAAATAAAGGACATCTATAATGAATATGGTTTGGCCTCTGGGAGATGCAAGGGTCCAGGTGATCACAGACCAACAGGCAAAGGGAAGTGAGCAGAAGCAGGTCTCCCTTCCTTGCCCACCCATCCATGTGCAGTGACTTAGACCCATGAGGACAAGCACTAATTGCTTGAGTCCCATGATCACTGTGCTGAGGAATTAAACACCTTTATGAAGTTTAGTGTCTGGCAAGTAACTACCGCTGCTACATCACCCACTCACCTGCTAAGGCTCAGCACACAACAGGCAGCCCCTGTCGGACCTCAAGTTTGCATTGTGTCTCTCAAACAAACCGTCCACTTTCAGGCCTCCTTCCAAAGCCCACACTCCCTTTGCCTCTGAGGGGTTTCCTGTCTCCATCAAACAGGCTTCAGACAAACACTGTAAGCATAGGAAAAGCAAAGCGGGGAGCTTAGGGAAGGCAAGGCCTGTTAAAATTACATTTCTGGACCTCCAGGATGGCTCAGCAAATCAAGGTGCTTACTGCCAAGCCTGACCATCTAAGTTTGATCCCCAGCACACACAGTGGAAGGAAAGAACCAACTCCCTCATGTTGTCCTATGACCTCCACACATGCACGATGGTATGCAAGCACCTACCCCTGCACACTCAAAATAAATAAAGGTAAAAAAGTTCAATTTCTAATGATTCCTGGAGTCATGTAAACTATATAATTTTGGTTTTAGGACAGAAATGGAAATGTATTCTCTTTACCAGCAGAGGAGGATGGAAAGAGTTAATCCCAAGGGACTGACTGGCCTGGGGATGCCACTCCTTTATGGGTCTAGTTGCCTGGGTGGCCCTGCAGGCTTCCAAGGCAGGAGCACACTGCCTGCCAGTGATCTGCATTTACACAGAAGCACCCTCAGACACCTTCAGGGAAACCCTATTTTGCTGGCAACCAGACCACACTTCTCAGAATGCTGGGGCCAGAAATACCGACTCAGGAGAGGCTCGGTTTATCAGAAACCTCTGGAGAATGACATTGGGAGTTTCAAAAGTCAAGCAGAAGAAAAAAGCTCAGGCCAGATGCCTATGGCTCCCTACGAAGAGGAAGAGGATACCAAAGAACCAGAAATCGAGGTAGACAACAACCAGGAGTCAAGGGAAACTGATGAAAACCCAACCTCGGGCCTCACCAACCCCTGCGGAGAGCTCCAGGCAAGCCAGGCAAAGGCATGGGATGGAGGGAAGGAAGAGCCCTCTAAACAGGGCTGTGACGGCTGTGACGGGACGAACGGAGTTGGCCTGCCAGTGTCCATACTGCCTCTGCCAGGTAGGTGCCTGGAATCTAGGGCAGGTCCTCAGCAGCTCCAGGGTGACCAGGTTTTCCCATTATGGAGGGAACTGCTACAGCCATGCTTATTGTGGCCTTCATTCTCACTTGCAGACCCTTTGTCTATCTCTGTCTCTTGCCTACATTTTTAAAAAGATGTATTTTTATTTTTATTGTATGTGTATTCCTGCATCATCTAGGAGACAATCTGTAATCCATAAGGTCAAGATATCCTTATTGAGATAAATACCAGCCAAACACAAGCCAGAGCAGCAAGAAGAAGACCCACGGTCTTAAGAGTCCCTCCCCGTCATCATGACCTCACGGTGACCACGCCTTCACAGGCGTGGTCAGGCACACCTGTAGCCAGCCCTTAGGAGGCGTGGTTACAGTGTCTCCCTACAGTGTATGGGTGTTTTCCCTACATGTGTATATGTGCACCATATGTGTGTGCAGTGTTGGCAGAGACTAGAAAAGAACATTGGATACTCTGAAACTGGAACTACAGGTGGATGTGAGCTGCCTGGGATCCAAACCCAGGTCCTCTGCAAGAACAGCCAGGACTCTTAGCTGCTGAACCATCTTTCCTGTCCTTTCCACCTCCATTTTCTTAATCTTGTTTTAAATGACTTCTTGAAGTGACTTTATTATATCACTTCTCAAAAGTCATATTAGAAACACCAGTCTTGATATTGCTGTATAAAAACCAGACTGAGAGGATAAATATGAGAAAGTATAAAGATTATTAATTAAAATTTTAATTTAGTTGTGAATTTATTTAAGACAAAGTAGAGGGCTTTTTTGTTGTTTGGGGGATTTAGGGTTTTTGTTTTGCTTTGCTTTTTATTTGTTTATTTTTTACTTTTATGTTCATTGGTGTTTTGCCTGCATGTATGTTTGTATGAGGGTGTCAGATTCCTAGGAACTGGAGTTAAAGATAGTTGTGAGCTGCCATGTGGGTGCTGAGAATTGAACCTGGGTCCTCTGGAAGAGCAGCTAGGGCTCTTAACAGCTGAGCCACCTTTCCAGCTCCAAAGCCTTTTGTTTCAAAGTATAAATTCTATATCCCCTGTATCCAAGTATAGGAAAACTGACAAAAGTATAAATGATCAGTTTTGAAAGTAATGAACTATGGAGAAAAGCTCATATTGGATAGCTCCCTAGAACTTATTTAGAAAAACAAACAAAACAGAGATTTGGTGTGTCCCTGATTGTTGTAGCTTCCTTTCTGTTGCTGTGATAAAATGGTTTGATCAAAAGTAACTTAAGGGAAGAGTCTATTCCAGTTACAGTTCTCAGTCACAGGCCACCACCCCGAGAAGTCAAAGTAAGAATTCAAATCAGGAACTTGAAGGCAGGAACTCAAGGCAGGAACTTGAAGGCAGGAACTCAAGGCAGGCACCTGCTTGCTATTCCACACAGCATTACTTCCATGAGGGAATTCACTTCACAGATAAGAAATGTGGCAGGAACCCTGAAGAATAGTGTTTGCTGTCCAGCAGGAAGGTTTATAATAACTGCCTTTTTTATATGGTTCACGACCACCTGCCTAGGGAATGGTAATGCCCACAGTGGGCTGGTCCCTCCCATATCAATTAACAATCAAAACAATCCCCCCATAGACCCACCCACATATAATCTGATATAGGCAATGTTTCCACTGAGATTCCCTTAGATAATTTTGTTTGTATAAACTTGATGTTAAAGTGAATGAGGGCACTGAGGTAGCCACCACACCAGCTGCTTCACTATGAAGTTCTGGGCTCCTGTTCAGGACATGATGGTCGCAAGAGACCAGAGAACATGATATAGTAGCATAAATATGAAAAATGAAGTTCACGGAGCCTTTCTGCCAGCACCTAGATATCATAGAGTGAATCTGGAACTTCTCTATTCACTTTGAGTTACATCACTGAAGAGAGGGGACACAAAACACCTGTGAATGGGACTGAACATCTTCAGGGAGTTCAAAACTTGGTCCATATAAATGGAGCACTCTGTGGTGACAGATGTTAGTGAGTTCATAGAGCTAAACGCAAATCCGTGTTCTAAGCATCTCCTTCTGAATAGAAATTTCATATCACATAATAATTTTCTTTTCATGTTAAAGGAACACATGAACTGGTTGCACTTAGGGAAAACCATTCTTTGGCTGATATTCAGAAATGGACTGTAGATGATGTGCATAACTTCATCAGAAGTCTTCCAGGCTGTTCAGACTATGCCCAGGTAACTTTGTATTTTTGCAAAACTATGAAAGTTTGAAACTATTTAATGCACAGTAAGTTTTGTCAAACTTGTATTTTGCCCCTGGAAGGGATTCCTGCAAAAATCCCCACTTTATGACATTGTCTCTGATTGGAGAGATGTCTGTGACTGGTAGGCACAAATACCAGAGAAGCCCTGGGAAGCCACTATTTAGCTTAATTTTCACTCCTGTCTAGACTCATGAGAGGGTGACTCAGATGCTAAATATCCAGAAAGAATGAGAAATATTTACAACAGTACCTAAATAACAGAAATATGTACTTTATCCTAAAAGACAAAAGGGACTGAGGTGACAACTCAGTCAGCAGACTGTCATGCAGCAAAAGGACTTGAATTCAACCCCCAGAACAAACACACATAACACACACACACACACACACACACCCGCTGGGCGGGGCCACACACACACACACACACACACACACACACACACACACACAAGCCAGGCGTGCTGGTGCCTGCTTGTAACCTCAGCACTGGGGCTTGGGGTGGAAACAATGGATCCCTGGGGCTTGCTGGCCAGCTAGACTAGTCAGTCTACTTGGCAAGTTATAGGGCCGTAAGAAACCCTGGTTCAAACAACAAGTGGGTGTTATCTGAGGAATTAGATTCGAGGTTGTCTTCAGGGCCTCATGTGCATGCACACACATGAGCAAGGGACCAGGAATGACGCACAATCTGTCATTGCAGCACCTGAAAGCCTAAGGCAAGTAGATTATGAATTTGTGGCCATCCTGAGCTGTAGAGTGAGGACTTGCCTCCACAAATGAACAACAGTATTACATGTATGTTATGCTTCATATCAGTTGTGTCTTGGTGGGCACACAGAAGTCATACAAACATCAACACCTCAAACTTTGCTGGCTCATTGTCTGTCACCAACAGGGTATCAATAGTCCAAGAAATTGTACCACTTATTTCTGGAAGTTTCTCAAATGTATGTAGGATGACCACATTTTGGAGTCTTTGCGCTTTGAGCTACTGCATGTGACATCATCCGCAAGACCCAGCCGCCCAGCTGAACACCCACTGCTGCTCTCTGAGAAACAACTGTGCAGAAATGAGGAGATACCAGTGCAATCTGGGTACACAGCCCGGAAGGACTGTTTCCCACATAGCTCTCACAGGGAACTTTGCCAGAAATGCCTCCTTGACTTTTATTCACAACCCCATGAGTTTTTGTTTGTTTGTTTGTTTGTTTGTTTTTTAAACTCCCAGGACAGGTCAGCTTTATACCCACTATCCTTCCCTCCATACCCTTGTGTGAATGAAATTTTTAAAATGTGTCTAAGGTCAGGTGTGATGGCATATGCCTGGAATCTCTACACTGGGAAGCTGAGGCACAAGGACTGAGTTCAAAGCTGGCCTCAGCTACGTAGTGGGACCCCCCCCCCCACATCTGAAACAACCTTGAGAAAAATAGTTACATGAGAAGTTCATTCTTTAAATCACACATACTTTGTCAATGCTTTGCTGCTTCATACTTATTGTAATTTGTTGTTATATTCCCTAAGAAAGAAACTTTATCAAAAATAATAAAAGAAATAAAGAGATAACAGTGAGAAGATTTGTGTCTTAGCTGTTTAGGGATGACCAGAAAACACTTCAATAGTTTATTCTAAGTAAATATCTAGTTCAATGAACTTGGCATATAAAATATTCATCTCTAAAAATATCTGAAATGTGCACATTTACATCATAGACATGGCTCAATGTGCACCAATAAGAAGGGTACCCCAGGTCTAGCATGTGCAAAGCCTTGTGTTCAATCCTCAGTACCACACAAACTCTAGCACACTGGTGTAAGCCTATAACCCCAGCACTGGGAAAGGGGAGGAAAGATTACCAGAATACCAGGGTCATCCTTGCTACATAGCCAGTTTTGTGGCCAGACTGGGCTATCTGAGACCCTGTCTCAAACAAAACAAACAAACAAACAAACAAAAACAAAAACCCCAGCCAAGAATAGCTATGCAGAAGCTTTAAGAACCTAGGGTGGTCGCTTCACAAAGGACTGGTGGACATTTCCGAATGTGGCTGAAATGTAAGCAGCACAAGCAACTAGAGCTGGAAGAGAGCCGTGTGTTTGGTACAGCACAGGCACCTAGAGAAGTGAGAAGGCAGGGTTAGGGGATGATGAGGAGCAGAACTCTGGAGACAGAAGAATGGCCAGGAATTGACAAAATAAACACAAGAGCATCCAACTGCATTTGATCCGTTTTGGGCTGTTGGAAGGAGAGGAGGGACAGTAGAGATGGAGTGTGTATTTTCATTCCCATGAGTGTTTAGGGCTGGTGGTGGCCCACTTAAATGTTACTAGGACAGTAAAGAGAGATTGGAGACTAAAGAAGGGTTCCTACTGTGAGCCCCTACCATGGGGGCGGGGGAGGGGGTGCTGCAGCAAGCTCTTACTTTACTCGGAGAGGTGGGAAGAAGTATCCGATTTTAGGTTTAATTGTCCAGGTTTAGAGGGAATTCTACCTACTATTTTCTTTTCCTCTTCTTTCTAAATTAGAAGGTTGTCTGAAAATGAAGGGGAACCCTGTAAACTGTGACGTCTGAGGTGGGTGGAGAAGACTTAAAGAGAAAGCTCAGAAGAGCATGGAAAGAGTGTGAGGCAGGGAGGAGCTGGACACTGCGTTGAACCACTAGCACACATCTTCACACCACCTTCTCACCTGCATGGGTATCTACCTCAGCAGGCTTCCTAGCTTCTGGGAGAAAGGCATCGTGCACTGGCTGGAGTCAGAGCAGGCTTTGCTGGAAAGGCTGGTGGACAGCAACTACCCAGGATTTCCTTACCTCTTTCCACCATACACTTAACTCAGAAGACAGAGGCACTGCAGCGTTGACCACATGAGGGGCCATGTTGTCTGTGATGGCTCCTCCCCCACCCCTTTACTACAACCATTTCCCCATTTATTGATTTACCCAGGGAGTACTTCCACAACGCTGCATCAGGGCTGCACAGTAAATGAGACATAGATGCTGCCCTCAGATAATTACTCCAGGTTGAAGTGAGTCCAGCAAACAGAACTACAGAGCATTCCACATATTAGACAACATGGCACTGGAGCCCAGACAAACCAGCAACCAAAGAGAGGTTTCTATGTCTCTGTGTCACCTTCATGCAGGCTTTTATATGCAAATACTCCAACACCAAACTATCTGCATATGAGACACAGGCTATACTACAAGACTCAGCAACTAGGCTAATGATTTTTGTGTTTCTTCAGGTATTTAAGGACCATGCAATTGACGGAGAAACACTGCCCCTTCTCACCGAGCAGCATCTTCGAGGCACCATGGGGCTGAAGTTAGGGCCAGCACTAAAAATTCAGTCTCAGGTATGGTGATGGCACATAATTTAGTATATAGCAATGATGAAAAGCCCAAGAGAAATGGGCCACATCATGGCATTGAAATATTAATATATAGAATACTTAATTAGCCTCCTTCTTAGCCTTTCCCCCTCTGTAACAGAGGATGTGGTAGAAGTGGGGAATCCTGAAAACACTTGATGAGTGTGTTACATATTTCTAGGTGTGATGGGAGGCAATAAATACAGCTAACATTGATACAGTATGGAACTATTTTTGAGTGACTCATTTTTCATTAGTGGGTCCAATACAGCTAACATTGATACAGTATGGAACTATTTTTGAGTGACTCATTTGTCATCAGGGGGTCTCCATGTGATAGCTTTTCCTCCGTGAAAGCCATCGGAGTAGTCAGATCCCAGGTACCATTTGCCAACTGTGGAAGGCCCCATTAGTAGCAGTTGTCAATCAAAGAAACAGTCATGAAGTCATTGTCACTGGGAACCTAAGTAGCAGAGTTGGAAGGCTCTGGTTAACACTTGGGGATTCAGAGGGCAAACAAGGAAGGGTTTGCCATTGAATAAGTTAATAAGGTTTGGGTACCCAAGATGGAAGTTGAGGGAAATACCCATGATAGTGGGCACAAGAAAGAGTAAAGAACCACCCCACTGCCAGTACAGAGTCCTAGAGAAGAGTTCCGAGTTGGGCATGCAAGGGAAAGAACAGGATCTGTATATATATATATATATATGTGTGTGTGTGTGTGTGTGTGTGTGTGTGTGTGTGTGTGTGTGTATCTGCATGTATACATGTATATATGTGTGTGTGTGTGTGTATCTGTAGGTATATATGTGGAGAGAGAGAGAGAGAGAGAGAGAGAGAACAGGCAGCTTTGGAGTTTGAATTATGCAGATGTGGCCTGGTTTCCATCCAGGGCCAAGTTTATTGAAGCAAGAGTGGTGGAACCGCAGTATAGGGGCCCAACGGTTAGCATCAAGGTGTCCACTCCCACAGCAACCCCGTTTGTATCTCACTGGCAATCAGTTATGTGCTGGCATTATTTGGGGAATTTTGGCCTGGTCTAGAAGAAAAGCTGGTTGTCTTTTGGTGGAGGTGTGGTAGAGGGAAAGGAGGGATGGACCCAGAATGAAATTGACACAGGGCAGATGAACCAAAGCAGAACCAGAAGAGAAATGGAAATTTGGAGCCACCAGAAACCCAGTTTTCCAGCTGTAAGTATCACCTGACTCTGCAAAACAAACAAGGCCTTCCACATAGTAGAAGTGTGACCGCCTTCATCTATATAGATGTTCCATGTCTGAAATTACCTCAGCTTCTCTTACCCGTTAATGCAGGGTTAGTTATCAAAAGAATTCAGACTCAATTACTATAATTATTTTGTCTTCAAAGGTATCTCAGCATGTGGGAAATACATTCTGTAAGAAAATTCCTTCACTTCCCACCCATGCAAAGCAAGCATTTGATCAACCAGCAGGCACGTCACCTCTTTTGGATATTAATTCCTGGAGTGATGGTTTGAGCATTCCTTGTTCCCAGGATATAATGGTTCCTAAAAGAACTGAGACAGGTAGTATGAGAAATTAAAAATACTCAGTTTTCCAGAGTTTTCTAGAGTTGTAGATGTTACCAGCAATATGTGAGAGCTTCCTGGGGCCAGGTAGAAGACAAGGAGAATGACTTCTAGCATTGTCTTGGGAGGATCTCACCCAACAGGCTTCCTGCCAAGCTGGAGTGACCCAAGCACCAAGGTTCCGGAGATTCATCCTTAGACAAAGAAAATGCTAACAGGGATAAGAATACCTCTGTGAAAACACTCTGAAGAAGCTGAGAGCAGAAACTGAAAAGGAACTCCTTCTCCTCATTCCTTTCATCATCCAGTTTTGATGGGGACATAGGCTGTGATCTGAGGAGGCAGAAGAGAAAGGCAGAGAGAAGCTGACCACACACGCCCACCTTATAAGGGTGAGGTTAGGATTTGTTGGAGGGGTGGGGGAGAGTTATCTGCATGCAGCAGGCTGGAGCTAGCAAGAGGGGGTCATGATTGAGGTGACTGTATCTGCTCCATGTGGAGTCCCACTCTTTCACTTAATGTCTGGCAGAATGACTCTAAAAGGACATGGATAAAAATGATAACAGTTCAATCAAAGAGGCGACTAGCTGTCAGACATAGGAAAAGGTCTTATGTTGAATGTTTTGAATTGTAAACCATGAGAACATATCTATTTTTAAAATTCACAGTTCAAGTGAACGAACCCTAGCAGGAAGCCTTTCAGATAGCCACACTCCCATTGTTTAGTATGCTTGCCCTTGTGTAACCCTTGCCCTTAGAGTGGGCTGGACCAAAGAGCTCTTCCTAAGGAAGCAGAGATCACTCCTGTGGCTTCTGTCTGTTTTCTATGTTAGTTTCCATCTCTAAGCAGCCCTGGGTAGAGAGTTCCATGTGACTAACCTTGAAAATGGACACTTGGAAACGTGCAACAGCCTCGTGCCATTCGGGTATGTGAAAGTGCCATAAATCTTGGTCAGCTCACAAGACCCTGGTCCAGGCTCTCAGCCAAGCCTCTGTTGGTTCCTGATGACAGAACTACCATCGCAGATGTGCTGCTTTCAAATACTGTGTTTTGGTGTCGTTTCCCAGCCATGGGGAATTTAAACACACAAATTCAACTTAGCAACACAAAGAGCACACTACTGGACCCACTGATCTGCAAGGTGGAATTCCAAAGTCCTTTCCCCAGAATCCTTGCTGATTTAGTTGAATTTCGAAGCCTTTTTTTTTTCCCCATGACAACAATTTTTTTCTGGTATAAAACTATTTTATGACAATCCTATGTGCATGTGGACATTAGTGTGAGTTTAGACTTTGAAATTAGAAAGGAGTAGGCGAACAGAGATATAGAGGAGTTCAGTCAAGGACCATGCACATGTGTGACATGAGAGTGCAAAGAAGACCACAGGGAGTGGAGGGCATATGAGGGGATGAGGGGTTGGGGATGGGGGGATGAAAGATCAAAAAAACAGTCTTTGTTTAGAAATTTCATTATCAAACCTAATACTTTATATGCTAATTTTTGAATTAATTTTTAAAATCCTGTTATACCATCAAATACACTTGTAATTTTCTAGCTTTGTCTCTTGATCCCTTTGCTGAAGTTCATTCAGAAAAAGAAAACCCCCAAAATTTCAAAATTTTATTAATTTCAGTCTAGATGGCAATAAACTGGTGGATAACATGTATTAGGGTTTTGATTAAATGTAACTGGCAAAATACCTCAGTCTCTTTCCCTTTTTAATTCATCTAATCAATCCTCAATGTACAGGACTATCTGGACACACAACTTTCTATGATTCCCGGGTTTCAGAAGTTCCATGAAATGGCCACTGTGAGATAGCAGATAAGAGGTCAAAATGGATGCTTAATTGATACTCTCGAGTGGAAAAGGGATCACTGCTTCAATCCACAGCTTAAGTTTCTTATTCCTGCTGATGAGTCTGCCAGGTTGGAGATTTGAGCAGATGTGAGCCAGTGTTGTTCAGAGGAAAACACTCAGATATGCCAGCCATAGCCTACCACCACAAAAAGCACTGTGCTTAATTTTAGATCTGTGTGTTTAAAAAAGGAATCAAAGACGGTTACAGAAGTCTGCCTGGCTCTGGTGCCTCCTTATCAGAAAAGAGAGTGAAATAATCTGCCCAAGAAACTCCTTGTTCTCTTTCTAGCTAGAGTCTACTTTATATTTTTAAAAAGTTAGAATTATTTGTTTTAATTTTATGTGTAGGAGTATTTTGCCTACGTGTACATATGTACTCACAGGCATGGCTGTTGCACTTGGAGATCAGAAGCGGCCATCAGATCCCTGGAACTGGAGTTATGGGTGTTTGTCAACCACCATGTGGGTGCTGGGAACCAATCTGCTGTCCTCTACAAAAACAAGCTCTTAACCCCTGAGCCATCTCTCCAGCTCCTACTGGGTACTGTTTAATAAAAGGGATACTTCAGTGACTGGGATGATTTTGAAGAGTGAAAATTTCACTTGCATGATTGTATTACTCACTGTTCTATTTCTGTGAAGAGACACCATGTCCAAGGCAACTCTTATAAGGAAAGCATTTAATTGGGGACTGGCTTACAGTTTCAGAGGTTTAGTCCATTATCATCATAGCAGGGAGCATGGCAGTAGACAGGTGCTGGAGAAGTAGCTAAGAGTTCTACACCTGGGTCCACAAGCAGCAGGAAGAGAAACACTGGGCTTGGCTTGCATTTTTTGAAGCCTCAAAGCTCACCCTCAGTGATACTTCCTCCAACAAGGCCAAGTGTGTTAATCCTTCTCAAATAATTCCACTCTCTCATGACTATGCATTCAGATTCATGAGCTTATGGGGCCATTCTTATTTGAAACACCACAAGTGTCATACAGAATTTTTAAAATTTAAACATTGTATGACATTTTTGTCAGTCTATCTGTGTGCTCAACAAGGTGTGTGAGTGAAGGTCATAGGGCAGCTTGCATGAATCTTCTTCTACCCTGTGAATCTTGGAAATCAAAGTCAGTGTGTTCACCTGCTGAGCTGTCTCACTGGTCCTGGGAAACGTTTTTAATTCCTCCTCTGATGCTGTTTTGGTCTTGAGCAAACTCCACTCTGTAAGCATAAAATCAAAGCTAAATCACAATGATAGAAAACCTTTGTTTGAAAATCAATTACAATAAGAATTATTTAGTAAATAGGATATTAGGATTTATGGAATATTTTGCTCAGAGGAATTCAGTAAGTCCTTTTAAAAGCATCAGGGGCTTGCTGTGTAGGCTAGTCTGGTTCCAAACCCACAGTCCTTCCCCATTCGCAATCCTTCTGAAAGAGCCTGAGTTCTGGGGCTACAGGTGCACCCCATTACTTGCAGCAGCACACAGACATTTCACTACAAATATATTAAAGTTTTGTTTAGAGAGAGTTGGGGCCATTCACTGTTCTTGTCCAGCCTCTTCTCTGGAAGACGGATCCATCTTTCCACCCAAAGTCAAAGGTATCTGATGTGTCTGCTAGCAGCTGTGAGGTGTCATAGTGTGGCTGTGAGAAGCTAATTTCACCCGTAAAGGAGATGATTCACATGAACATCGCTGGCTGTCATTTTTAACGAGCTTGTAGGCTGTGCGAATACTTTTTAAAAATCACCTTTCTAAGTCTGGTGTGGGTGGCACAACCCTTTAATCCCAGCACTTGGGAGGCAGAGGCAGGAAGATCTCTGTGAGTTCGAGGCCAGCATGGTCTACAGAGTGAGTTCCAGGACAGCCTCCAAAGCAATACAGAGAAATCCTTTCTCGAAAAACAAAACAAAACAAAATTACCTTTCTAGTAAATTTGGAATCTTTGGCTCATTCTCCAGTGATTTTTATTTTGAGAGTTGGAATTTTTTGAAGCATACAAAACTGATTGTTAAATTTAATTGAATGATTGTTTTATTCCTAGTGTTAAGAAGATATTCTCATCCAACATAATAAAGCAAGAGTTTCAAACTTTTCACTGCTTAAAAAAATATTATTATAGTCTTAGTTTAGATTAGCCCTTTGTCCTTGGTATGAAAGCAGGGAGACAAACTACAAAGTATACATTTCTATTTGTTTTCAAATTATTTGGGGGAAACATAACTGATACCTTTTCCCAAAACAGCTATCAAATTAAACTAATTGGTCTGGGGTTGGAATGTAGCTTAGTGGTAGAGTAGGCTTACTAAGCATACTCAAGACCCTCAGATGTTAGTACTTTAAAATGTTTTGGCAAACTTAAGCTAAATATTCTGCGGTAACTACTTGAATGTGTTGAAAGTCTCTTGCCAATGCTTTCAAAAATAACTGGGAAACCATTAGTATTGCAGGCCTACAATTGCAGTAGAGAATTACGGAGCCAAGATCTGAAGGCAGGTTTAAAGGAGTCCACAATTACCCAGATAAAGAATGAATAGGTATTTATATGGGGAGCACTCACACAATGATGGTAAATAACCACCCTGGTCTTCCTGCTCCTGGAGATGCACCCTCTGCTCTTCAGGATGCTCCAACCCAACCCAAGAGAGCACAAGCCAGCCCCTCCTCTTCCTTATAAGGGGTCATGTCCACACACCTGAAGCCATGGCCTAAGGTGTGGCCACTACCCCAAGTCCACTGGTGGAACAAGATGCCACCTACATCTCCCCCTTTTCTCTAAATAAGAGGGTTTTAAATACAAAAATTATATCCAACAATAGTATATCAAGTATTGTCCAGGAGAAAGAAAGGTAAGAACATACACAAACTTAGACCTACAACCAGCAAGAGCAACATTAAGCAAGAAATATATACTAAATGTTCAGTCCAAGGGTAATGGCATAAGACAGAGATTACTCCAATAGCTGTCCTATTCTGGAAAGTCTAAGTCTCATATCTAATATGCTCTAGCTAAGAGAGGACATTAGCTATGACTATCTGGTCTTCAACCTCATCAAAGACCTGAAAAGGAAAATAACATTAGTAGGGAAAGCAGGAAGTACAAGCAGGTGACTTCCAAAAGGTGCAAGAAATGACAGAAACAGCAGGCTACCTGGATAGTCACCTAAGGTCTTGCAGTAATGTCGGGACAACTGATCAGTGCAACTGGACAAGAATGAAAGCAGGACAAGTGCATTCTACCTTCTCCGAGCTCATGGTCTGGGAGACTCACTCATGTATCAGAGCATTTTTATTATAAGCAGGAATACTCTCTCTCTCTCTCTCTCTCTCTCTCTCTCTCCCTCTCCTCTCTCTCCCTCCCTCCCTCTCTCCCTCTCCCTTTCTCTCTCCCTTTCTCTCTTTCTCTCTCTCTCTCTCTCTCTCTCTCTCTCTCTCTCTCTCTCTCTCTCTCTCTCTGTGTATGTGTATGTGTAGCTAAATCAAATTTAAGGAAGAGTATCAGATAGGCTCAAATCGTTTCTTCATCCATTCCCTCAGCCCCTTCTCAATTGTATAATAAATAATAAAATGTCCTTAGCCATCTCAGGCACCTCTCTGTGCTCCTTCTGAAACTGCAAGGCTTCTACACACTTTTTTTTTTTCTTTCACGGTTACACTACTATATAGAGAAATAGCCTGTTTCACCTCAGAAAGGGTGAGAAAGTCACAGAAAAGGTGACAAGGCAGTTGTTAGAAGAGTGTAAAACCCTTTCTTCTTAACTTACATCTCTCCATATCCCAGCTGAAAGCCTGTCTGGGGAGCATGCCTCACACCCTAGCCCCATAGCCACCCTGGGATCCTAGCTCACTGTGGTACTCCTGGCCAGGAGGCCTGAATCCTCACCAACATTGGGGACCCTGCTTTGTTTGTACAGAGTCCACCTTCACTGGGTGGCACTGAGGGTTGTCCACCGAGGACTCATGGGTCTGGGGCAGGGAAAGAAGCCTCCGGCAGTTGTGTATCAGTTTGTGCTTGGAGCAAAAGCTGCCTGGAGAGCCTTTTCTCTTCAGAGTTAGTATCTATCTCCAGCCTGTCGGTAGCCTGATCAGAAGCATCAAGAGAGTTGTGAAAGGACAAAAACCAAAGGAAAGACACGTAAAATGGGACCCTTGCTGACCACCGTTCACTTTCACCACCTGTAGCAACAGCAGAGCTAGGCAGTTGTATTACCTACCAACTAAATACACAAGTCTCTTAAACCATTCCAATCACCACAGCGAAAAAAGAGCACTGAACACCCTTACCCAGAGTTCATTCTGTTCTCATCCCCTGCCTTGGTTCATGGCTAAGGGGAGGGGGGCTTTTGGTGGCATGCCAGTGGAGAGGAGAAATCGCTTCAAATTCACCATTTCTAATTGTACCCCAGGACACCTGGCAGACACTGGTCATCCATTTTGCTTCCTGGCACCTCCCTTTTCCAGCCACGTCTTCCTGATGAATCCTTCTTGCAGATCTCCTAATTTAGGGTTCTGAATTCTCTCTGTATTTCCCTTGCAAGCAAACACTGTCCAAAGAGCTATCGCCCAGCGTGATTCTTAGGAGGCTCTCCAATCTCCCTCTGTGGAGGGATGTTTGTCCCCGTCCTCGTGGTCATTGCGTCTCCACGTTCTAGATTCAGAGTGTGCCATTTTGTGGTGTTTATACGGCAGTAGGAGACCCATCCTTTCTGTGAGATGGTTCAGCTTTCCTATAGTGCTCATCTCAGTAAGTCTTTTACTTTTGGCCCCATGGTCTGGAGAAATGTATGCAAATGGACTTAAAGGCATAGGATCTCTTTACTCGAGGGCATGAGCCTCTTCAGACACACTAAGATACACAATCTATGAACTTTTATTTATCATAGGGAATGAAGTGGCCTTTCTTTTGTAACTGTAAATCCAACCTGCTGCTTCTGTTGCCTTACGTTGGTCTTTGGATTTTCCATCTTGTCTTTCTAGGTTTTTCTTCCGTGGAGTTATACTTCTGTTTAATCAAGAATCCTTTGCACAGAGTCTGCAAGACAGACTTTACTCTTGTGTTACGAACCAGAAATGTGTTTATCTCCCAAGATGGACTATGCATCTAGTACTTTGGAACAGTGACTACAAGTCCCCCAGGTTTTCTCTGAACCTTGGAAACATGGAAACTGTGGAGATCTCTGTCCATCTCCACGGGTCAGGCTGCTGATTTGCTCAGTGGTCAGTCTGTTCTATGACATTTTCATGAGTAAGCTAACCAGTTCTGCAGAGGCCACCGTGTTTGCTGGAGTCAGTTCAGAGGCAGTGAGTGCTCTGCTGTGTGCTTTAATACTGGAGCTTTGCTGCAGCTTTCTCTCACCTGTGAAACAGATATTCCCTAATATTTACAGAAAGCACCAGTGTGGGGTGAAAAGTAACAGTTGAGAAAGGTTCTCTGTTACTTCCAAGACTTCAACTGGTGGCCTCTAGTAATATCAACACTTGCTTTTCAGACATGTATGAGTGTAGGTCACCAAATAGCCGATGATGAAAAAAGTGGGGGCAGGGGGTTCCCTTCAAAGCAGAAAAAGAAATTTTACCTGAAGTGGCTTCTTTCTTTATGGATAAAATGATGGTCACAGTTAATTGCTGTGACACTGAAGCCACTGCCATGCCACAGTGTAACAGTGTTTCAGGATTCTGTGGCTGAAGCCACAGCCACAGTGCAACAATAATTTCAGGTCCTGTCACTGAAACCACCACCACAGTGTAACAGTGGCTCAGGGTCCTGACATGAAAGCCACCACCACAGTCTAACAGTGGTTTCAGGTCCTCTAAAACTTAGTCTCCCCTCTGTGGTCAGGTTGGTTGTCTGGGCTTGTCACAAAACCACTCATTTAATTGAGCAGGCAAATAGATAAGTATCCAAAGCCCAGGAACAGAATGAATCAATCAACATTCGTTAGTTCACATGGATGTGAGAGGAACATCTGCAATTTTGAAGCACAATTCTGAACATGACTAACATACAACATTTTCAGTCCTCAAAGAGTGTGTGTGTGTATGTGTATATGTGATTATGACTAACATACAACATTTTCAGTCCTCAAAGAGTGTGTGTGTGTATGTGTATATGTGATTATTCCAAGCCTGACGATTTTTCTAAAGGCATAATATTATGCTAAAGGCATAATACAAACATGGTTAGATTTTTTTCCACCAACTCTATAGGCAAATGGCATC